CCTTCTCTTCCCTAGACTAGCCATGCCCAGTTCCTGCAACCATTCATTATATGTTTTAGCCTCCGGTCCCCTAATCATCCTGGTTGCTCTTCTCTGCATTTTTTCTAGAGTCTCAACATCTTTTTTTTAATAGTGTGGTGACCAAATACTGGATGCAATATTCTAGGTGTGGTCTATACACGGGGGTTGTGTTTGTTAGGGTAACAATTCTTGTGTTAAGCCAGCTTACAGTTGCTGTAACCAGAAATCACTCAACAAACAATATTGGTCCCCAAAAAATGTAAATGTAGTCCAAATCTATAAGATTAAATATGCTGCAAAAGTAATCCTCATTTAGCAACTGTCTTGTACGGGGAGTCCTCAACGTACGACCCCAATTCACCCGAACATTTATGCTGCTAAAGGAGAAATTTGTTAAGTTGTTCTGCCCCATTTGACGACTTTCATTATGGCCTTTGTTAAGTGAACCACTGCAGTTGTTCAATGAGTCACACACGGTTGTTAAGTGAGCCCGGCTTCCTCATTGGCTTTGCTTTTCAGAACGTCGCAAAAGGGATATCATCTGATTGCGGGACACTTCGATGGTCGTAAGTATGAAACAGTTGCCAAACATCCAGATGTAATCCACGTGGTCATGGGGACACTGCAACCGCCATAAGTATGAGTCACTTGCTACGCACCCCAAATATAAATCATGTGCTCATGGGGAAGCTCCAGCGCATAAGTGTGAAAAACGGTCCTAGGTCACTTTTTTCCAGTGTTGTGGTAACTTTGGTCATTAAGTGAGGACTGTCTGTCAAGGACTCCCCATACAGTGACGTTTGCAGTCGCGGCTGTGATGGAAAAGGCATTTTGCAACCAATCCTCACATGTATGACCTTCACCGGTCTGTAAAGCCAAAGGTAGCTGAAGCAAGATGAGAAGCCCCATTGCAGATCCACTTAGCGACCGAGTTACGTCATTAAACAAGGACTAGCAAAGTACGTGGTGTTTTTTTTAAATTCAGATGCCAGCTGTTCCTCTGAAAGCATCTCCAAAGCCCATCAATCCTTCGTTGGCATTTTGACGGCGTAAGGGAGCCCGTGAACAATCAGGAATCGCAGAAAATGGATTTCTTGACATTTGAAACGAGTCGATTTCAGTGTTTTAAACGCCTTTTCTGTTCTCTTCCCTCGCAGGCTCAGAGCTCTCACCTCCCATGTTCTGGAGGGGTTGATGTCCGTTTTAGCGGCGTGATCGATTGTTTTAAGCAGACGGTGAAAACCAAAGGGGTCCTGGCACTTTGGAACGGATTAACTGCCAATTTACTCCGGGTAAGTTTCCAAGTCTTTCCTGGTCGATTCCAACGGATGTCAATCTTGCAGTTCCTTCCCTCTTCATTTGCAGGTAGTCCTTGACTTAGAACCATTCATTTGACTCATATTTATGACAGTTATCAGTGTCCTATGGGTGTTCTGACTTTGCAGAGAGTACGAAGCAAACTCCTTGTCCCGACAAAACCCCCTTTTATTAATTGACTGTGAGTTCTGCTCAGTCGCATCCAGCAAAGTCTTTCAAGGACTACCT